CATCCGCAACCCTTCTCCCCCCTCCTTCACCCATTTCCTGGGGGCCCATCCAGTTCAGGCCCCCAGCCGCCCCCAAGACCAAGACCGCTTCCATCTTGTCGATGCCGATCTTGGCCCTGGTCCATGTCGTCCGTGGCCGATTCGCGAGGATGATTCACGAGTTTACGCTGACCACATGGATGGTGGCCCAAATCGGCACGACGCTTCCGCGTTCAGTGTTGGTCATGGTCCCCGTTCTCTTCCCCTCCAGGTGACGACGACGAAGGAGGCGGCCTTCGAGGCCCTGCTGTCGTGGGCGAAGGCGGACTCTGGCAGCTGGGCGCCCCCGCCGGAGCCCCCGAAGCAGCCCGTCGCGCCCTCGGGCTCGGGCCTGAACCCGCACGCCCAGAGCTGGTTCCCCCCGCCGCAGCGAGAGGCGGCGGCGGGCTCGCGGGACTTCCGAGGAGGAAAAAGCTCGGTGGGGGGCGTTCGCGAGGGAGTGCGTCCAGGAGTGAGGGGGATCGGTACGGCGGGGGCTTTTGGCCAAGGAGTGTGCCCAGGAGGCTGCAGACCCTGGAGGATCCTTTACCTGGTGAGGGCGGCGTTGATATCCATGGCCAATCCACGATTGGAGTTCCACGGTCGTCCAGACCCTGGATTCCTTATCCAATGGTTCCTTATCCAATGCCCTCACCGTATCTTTTGGCTCCCCCAGGAGCCCGTCAAGGTCCAGATGGGGGGCCTGGAGCCGCGGGCGCCGACGCCGGCGCTCTCGCGCGACGCGCCCGCGTACGTGGGGACAGGCAGCACCTCGCACTTGTGCTCGACGGGCCCCGGCGTCGACTTCGGCGCGTACGAGGATCAGAGGAGGAGCAGGTACCCACACCGCTATCCTTCGCCCGTTTTTCCTCCTTTTTCGGCCTCCTGGGAGGCCCTCGTCGCCACCGCTGGATTCGCCTCGAGCTCCTGGTCGGAACGCACCCTGGGAGAGGTCCAGAGAGTAGCGGTATTGGTACCTTTGGGTTTCTCCAGAGGAGAGCTTCGACAGCCTCTTCCAGACCCAGCCGCTCCACGCGCTCCTCGGAACCACTGGCGGGGAAGGGGGCGCACCTTCCGATCTGTTTTTGGCCGTGCCAGGCCGTCGAGTGGCTGATCCGTTTGGGTTCCGGCTCGGCCTGCTGTGGGAGTATTCTTGCTCGTAGGCGCTCATTCGTCTCCCCAAGTCAGGAGCGTTTGATTCCGCTCTCTCCTCTTCTCTCCCCTCTTCTCCTCTCCTCTCCTCTTCTCTTCTCGTCTCGTCTATTATCATATCTTCTCTTCTTTTCTCTGCTCTTCTCTGCTCTGCCCTGCTCTGCTCTTCCCTTCTCTTCCCTTCTCTTTTTTTTTCTTCTCTTTTCTTCTCTTCTCTTCTCTTCGCTTCGCTTCTCTTCTCTTCTCTTCTCTTCTCTTCTCTTCTCTTCTCTTCTCTTCTCGTCTCGTCTATGAGCATATCTTCTCTTCTCTTCTCTGCTCTTCTCTGCTCTGCTCTTCCCTTCTCTTCTCTTCTCTTTTTTTCTTCTCTTCTCTTCTCTTCTCTTCGCTTCTCTTCTCTTATCTTCCCTTCTCTTCTCTTCTCTTCCCTTCTCTTCGCTTCTCTTCTCTTCTCTTCTCTTCTCTTCTCTTCTCTTCTCTTCTCTTCTCTTCTCTTCTCTTCTCTTCTCTTCTCTTCTCTTCTCTTCTCTTCTCTTCTCTTCTCTTCTCTTCTCTTATCTTCTCTTCTCTTCTCTTCTCTTCTCTTCTCTTCTCTTCTCTTCTCTTCTCTTCTCTTCTCTTCTCTTCTCTTCTCTTCTCTTCTCTTCTCTTCTCTTCTCTTCTCGTCTCGTCTATTATCTTCTCTTCTCTTCTCTTCTCTTCTCGTCTCGTCTATTCTCTTCTCTTCTCTTCTCTTCTCTTCTCTTCTCTTCTCTTCTCTTCTATTCTCTTTTCGTCTCGTCTATTATTTTCTCTTCTCTTCTCGTCTCTTATCTCTTCTTCTCTTCTCTTCTCTTCGCATCTCTTCTCTTCTCTTCTTGTCTCTTCTCTCCTCTTCTCGTCTCGTCTATTATCTTCTCCTCTCTTCTCTTCTCTTCTCTTCTCTTCTCTCGTCTCGTCTATTATCATCTCTTCTCTTCCCTTCTCTTCTCTTCTATTCTCTTCTCTTCTCTTCTCGTCTCGTCTATTAGCATCTCTTCTCTTCTCTTCTCTGCTCTTCTCTGCTCTGCCCTGCTTTGCTCTTCCCTTCTCTTCTCTTCTCTTTTCTTCCCTTCTCTTCTCCTCTCTTCTCTTCTCTTCTCTTCTCTTCTCTTCTCATCTCTTCTCTTCTCTTCTCTTCTCTTCTCTTCTCTTCTCGTCTCGTCTCGTCTCGTCTCGTCTCGTCTCTTCTCTTCTCTTCTCTTCTCTTCTCTTCTCTTCTCTTCTGTTCTCTTCTCGTCTCGTCTCGTCTCGTCTCTTCTCTTCTCATCTCTTCTCTTCTCTTCTCTTCTCTTCTCTTCTCTTCTCTTTCTCTTCTCTTCTCTTCTCTTCTCTTCTCTTCTCTTCTCTTCTCTTCTCTTCTCTTCTCTTCTCTTCTCTTCTCTTCTCTTCTCGTCTCTCTCTCTTCTCTCTCTTCTCTTCTCTTCTCTTCTCTTCTCTTCTCTTCTCTTCTCTTCTCTTCTCTTCTCTTCTCTTCTCTTCTCTTCTCTTCTCTTCTCTTCTCTTCTCTTCTCTTCTCTTCTCTTCTCTTCTCGTCTCGTCTCGTCTCTTCTCTTCTCTTCTCTTCTCTTCTCTTCTCTTCTCTTCTCTTCTCTTCTCTTCTCTTCTCTTCTCTTCTCTTCTCTTCTCTTCTCCTCTCTCTTCTCTTCTCTTCTCTTCTCTTCTCTTCTCTTCTCTTCTCTTCTCTTCTCTTCTCTTCTCTTCTCTTCTCTTCTCTTCTCTTCTCTTCTCTTCTCTTCTCTTCTCTTCTCTTCTCTTCTCTTCTCTTCTCTTCTCTTCTCTTCTCTTCTCTTCTCTTCTCTTCTCTTCTCTTCTTCGTCTCTTCTCTTCTCTTCTCTTCTCTTCTCTTCCTCTTCTCTTCTCTCCCTCTCTCTTCTCTCTTCTCTTCTCTTCTCTTCTCTTCTCTTCTCTTCTCTTCTCTTCTCTTCTCTTCTCTTCTCTTCTCTTCTCTTCTCTTCTCTTCTCTTCTCTTCTCTTCTCTTCTCTTCTCTTCTCTTCTCTTCTCTTCTCTTCTCTTCTCTTCTCTTCTCTTCTCTTCTCTTCTCTTCTCTTCTCTTCTCTTCCTCTTCTCCTTCTCTTCTCTTCTCTTCTTCTGCTGTCCGCCACCTTCATGGATCGCGCACGACTCCGGCGTTTGCCTCGCTTCCCCTTCCATCTCCCCCCTCCCCCTATCACGCGCTTTCCCCTTTCTCTCCGCGTCCCCATTCTAGACCTCGCCCCTCCCCCTCCCCCCCTCCCCCATCCACAATTACTCAATATGAATACTATTCTCCCTCTTCCCTTGATGACGGCTTGAAAGTGTTAGCCCCCCCCCCCGCGTACTGTTTTTTTACACACAGGATTTCCAGGAGTTGGGTTTTCGCTTGCATTTTGTTCCAAAATGCTGCTCTCGCTGAGGCGCCGGCCTCATTTCCGTGCTTCCGCTCGTTCCGAATCGTGCTCCCGCTGCAGCGCTGGCCTCATTTCCGCGCTTCAGCTCGTTCCGAATCGTGCTCCCGCTGCAGCGCTGGCCTCATTTCCGCGCTTCCGCTCGTTCCGACTCGTGCTCCCGCTGCAGCGCTGGCGTCATTTCCCGTGCCATGCCACGGCATGCAATGCAATGCTAGGTTGATACTACGCTTTGCGGTGCTCTTCTACGCCAAGCCATGCCGTGCTCTACAATGCATCGCGTACCCTTTCGGGATCATTGCCTTGTTCGACATCCGACTGTGCGAGTAGAGAGGGGATCGAATCTACGCCATGGGAAGGGATGGGAGGGAGGGGTAGGATGTCAGATGTGACGCGAGCGCACCTAGCTTGCCCCTCCCCGCTCCCCCTTCCCCCCTTCCCTCCCCCCCTATGCCCCTTCCACCCTCCAGACCTCCCCCCCCTCCCCCCCCTGCCCGCCGCTGCCCCAGGGGGGCTCCCTCAGACGGGGGCCAGCGCCCGCGAGGGCCCCCCCCCGCCGCGGCAGCTGGGCCAGCCTTCTCTTCCAAGTCCGCGCCCCCGCGCTGTGCGAGAGGCCGCCTGCGCTCTCCCCTCCTGGGCGAGCGCCTCGCGGCGGTCTTTTGAGCCATCGAGGGGCGCAGCGCGGGGTCCCCCCTCCCCCCCCTCCCCTCCTCCTCCTCCTCCTCCTCCTCCTCCTCCGCCTCCTCCTCCTCCTCCTCCTCCTCCTCCTCCTCCTCCTCCTCCTCCTCCTCCTCCTCCCCTCCCCCTCCTCCTCCTCCTCCTCCTCCTCCTCCTCCTCCTCCTCCTCCTCCTCCTCCTCGAGGAGGAGGAGGAGGAGGAGGAGGAGGAGGAGGAGGAGGATCGGGTGTCGCCCCAGAGATCCGTCAAGCGCTTGCGAAGCGTCCTGGCTCACCTACAGGCCCACGCAAGAATGCTCTAAGTCTTTTTTTTTGCGGTCTGCACGGGCTGTCATCAGGCCATTTCTGGCGGAGACTCTCTTGTTTTCGCACATCGGGCTTCTGTTCTGAGAGCACTGTTTTTGTTCTTAGAGCATTTTGGGGTTCTAAGCACATTTCGGGGTAGGGCTATGAGAATGCCCGGACGGTCGGTCCCTGCTCAAGATCCGACGCTCCGACAAAAGTCGGAACGGCTGGTTTTCTGCTGTTCTCGGTCTTCTCGGGGCCCTGGCCGGGCCTCGGGACCGCGGACAAAAGCGACTCGGGACGAACAAGCGGTAGTTAGTCACCACCCACCAAACCACCCCAACCCAACCCGAAGGCCCAAATTTATCCTCGATTTCCAGTGGGGGGGGGTCGGGGAACGTTGAAAAAACACATGGTATCCGTACCCCCCCCCCAACCCGAAATTCGGGTCAAATTCGGGTCTTCGGGTTGGGTTGGGGTGGTCTGGTAGGTAGTCAGTTAGGGAAGCGGTTCTGATTTCGGGGCCCACGCATCGAAGCAATCGCAGCGGCCAGATGTCTGGGGCGGGATCTGGTCGTGCCAGTCTTGGTATGGAGCTGGCTGGGGGTCTGAGGTGTCCCAGCACTGGTGCCGGCCAGCAGGAAGGGGGTGCAAGGTTGAAGTCGGGCATGCCCCTTTACAGGAGAGATATTCGAGAATAGTACAACTGTCAGGTGACGAATTTCCGTGCTCTTCTGACTAGTTTTGAGGATGACATGCCCGACCTAACGCTAATGGGGGGCGGGATAGGTGGGAGGTGCAACAAGTCTCTTGCGAGTGCTACTGCGCGAACCCCCGCGCGAACGCATGCTGGGTGACACGAGCTATCGCAAGGGGCGTCAATCATGGCGTTTGAAGGAGTACACGCTTGCACCCACGCGCAACTACTGCGCCCAGACCGCAGGCGCTGCAGCCGTGCAAAAACTACTGCAAGTATTATTGCACCTAATTTCTCTGGCCCCCCCATCTGTGCTACTTCCACTGCTCCGGCCTCTGCCCCCGCCCGTCCAACGAGTCTGCATATCTTTGAGGCGGGCGCCCTCCCCGCTGGGCCCTGTCGGGCCCGGGCTTTTCTGCTCCGTGCTCCGACCTGGACCACCGCGCGTCGTGAAACAATCGCGGCGGAAGGCTGTTGGGTACTTTTCTGTCTCCGGGGCCCTCGCTGGGCCCCGTGACCGTCAAATTACCGTCGGGGTCGGGTCGGTTCGGCAGCCGCGGCTGGCCGCGCTCGGTCGGTTGGGCTCGGCTGGTCGTCGTGTCGATGCTGCGTCCCCAGACCACTTCGCGTCGCGAAAGATATCATGCCGCGAGGTTTTTCGCTATCTTCGGCCTCCGGGGGCCCTCATCGGCCCAGGGACCGTCAACTGCCGACTCAGGATGAAGAGCCTGCCCCGGGGAAGACCTCCTGGGGTCCGCGCTGCGGCACGGCGTCGCGGGTCTGAGCCTTCTGATCTTCTTCCAGATGGGAGGCCAGTCCACAAGAAACCTTCCACAAGAAACTCAACCCTAAGACCCCAGGACGTCCATTGATTTTTTGGTGCGGGAGCATCACGCGTTCCATGGCAAAACCATCGAAACCCAAGAAGCCCAGGGCACCCTGGAGGCAAGCAGGGTGTTTCTTGGTATTGGCCTCCACTGTAGGGGAGGTTGCGCCGCTCCTCCCGCAGATCACGGCCTGACTCCGATGTTCGCGTACGCCTAGCAGTCAGCCGCGCAGCCTTCGCCCGCGGCTGGGGGCGGCTGCATGGAATGGCCGCGGCGCCATCTGGCGCACCAGGGAGACATGTGCAGGGTGGAACAGGCAGGGCCAGACGAGTCGGAGGGAGGAAGTAGCGAACGGTACAGTCGAGCATCTGATCAAGAAACGTCCTCCCAAAAAGCTGGGAACCAACGTGCTGGAACGTTGGCCGAGTTTCTTAAGCACGTGCGCCCCTCCAGCATTCACCGAAGAAGCCTGCCCAGCTTTGTTTTATGAATCTTTCGCAAAGTTCGCCCAGGTTTCTTAAATTATATAATGACCTTCGGCCCATCCCGCCACCGCGCCTGTGTTGTGGGTATGAAGCCTCGTGGATGTTCGTTGGAATCTCGTGGGGCGCTTCTCGGGGGCCTCTTGGAGGCAGTTTGGACGTCTCCTGGGGGCCGTTTGAGGGCCTCTTGAGGGCCTCTTGGGGACTCTAGGGGTCTCTTAGGGCCTCTTGGGGGCTTCTTGTGGGGGCCTCTTCCAAGGGGGGGGGGCGATGAATTTTTGTCCCATCCAGAGTGCGGAGAGAATGAGCATGAAGACCGACAGCATTTTCTTTCCCAACCATCTTGTGGTGTTGGGTCCTCGTTTTGAAGAGACGGCGCTCCGCGTTCTCCTCCTCCCGCCTCCTTCCTCCCCCTTCTGCCTCCTCCCTCCTTTGCCTCTGCCCTCCGCATGTATCTGCTTCGGCACACCCCTCACACGTTTCGTGGCCCCACAGGGAGCTCCATAGGAGGCCCCAGTGGCAAAGTTTGCATGGCGCCACCGCCACATTTCGGCACACCCCTCACACGTTCCGTGGCCCCATGGGGAGCTCCACCGAAGGCCCCAGTGGCATTGTTCGCATGGCGCCACCGCGCCCATTTCGGCACACCCCTCACACGCTTTGTGGCCCCACAGGGAGAACCACCGAAGGCCCCACTGGCAGGGTTCGCATGGCGCCTCCGCGCCGATTTCGGCACACCCCTTACGCGTTTCGTTGCCCCACAGGGAGCTCCACTGAAGGCTCCAGTGGCAAAGTTCGCATGGCGGCCTCGCCCCATTTCGGCGCACCCCTCACACGTTTCGTGGCCCCATGGGGAGCACTACCGAATGCCACAGTCGTAAAGGTGGCATGGCGGCACCGCCCCGTTTCGGCGCACCCCTCACACGATTCGTGGCCCCATGGGGAGCTCCACCAAAGGCCCCAGTGGCAAAGTTCACATGGCGGCCCCGCCCCATTTCGGCGCACCCTTCACACGTTTCGTGGCCCCATGGGGAGCTCCACCGAAGGCCCCACTGGCAGGGTTCGCATGGCCCCACCGCACCCATTTCGGCACACCTCTCACACGTTTCGTGGACCCACAGGGAGCTCCACCGAAGGCCCCACTGGCAGGGTTCGCATGGCGCCACCGCGTTCATTTTGGCACACCCCTCACACGCTTTGTGGCCCCGTAGGGAGCTCCACCGAAGGCCCCACTGGCAGGGTTCGCATGGCGCCACCGCACCCATTTCGGCACATCCCTTGTGCGTTTCGTTGCCCCACAGGGAGCTCCACCGAAGGCGGGGCTCACAACTGCGGTACTCACAATTGCATATGGTTGGGTCCTTCGCCAGGATGTTTTTTTTTTGTGAGCAGGACTTGCTGTAGGTTTCGCCACGGACGTTGTTCTTTTCAGACAGAACGCCGCTGCCCAGCAGCGGCTGTCGGTTTAAGACAACATTTGTTGTTGAGTATCGTGCCAATTTTGTTGGTACCCATTTCGTGCGTCCAATGGGGAGTATCCAAGTGAGCGACGGAAGACAACGAGGTCGACTGCACGGACATTCGCGCGCAAGCTTCCCACTCAAGGTCGCGCGTGAGCGCTCTCTTCCCCGCGCGGTGTGCCACGCAGGCGGCCCGCGCAAGCCGCGGCGTATGGTCGCTATGTCTTCTCGCGCAAGACTGTTTCATTTCGTCGCCCAGATCAAGAATCCCGCTAGCGGGATGGAAGCACTTGGGAGCAACCAGGGACACCCGAAACAGGAGAGTCACCGTCTGCCAGGTGCAGCCCCGCCTACTATCTTTTTCATGCTATCTGTTCTCGCCTACGCGCTTCGGCGTATGGCTTAGCGTAGCGTAGCGTAGGTGCAACCCCGCAGAGTGTCGTTGGAATCCGTAGTTGCAAACGTTGCTGGTGCTTATGTGGTGGCCTCAGGCCCCTCCTGCCGCCAGCTCCTGGGTCGTGGACCTAAGGCCTCTCAGAGGCCTTTGGGGGTCTCTGGGGAGGAGGCCTCCTGGAGCCTCTTGGACGCTTCTTGGGGGCCTCTCAGGAGCGTCCTGGAAGTCTCTCGGGTGTTTTTTGGGACCTTTTGGGAGCCTCGTGGAGGCCTCTTGAGCTCCTCTTGGCGGTTTCGGAGGCCATCTTGCAGGGAAGGGCTCGAAGTGTCAGCTCGAGCCCCCCGTCTCTTGGGCCCTTTTTGGCCCACCTTGGGAACCTCTGGGGAACCTCGGGGGCCGTCTTCGGGTGATCTTGGGGGCCCCTTGGGCCTCCTGGGCGCTCTCAAGACCTTGGCATCGCTCGGACGCGTGCACTTTTTGTCGGCGAGGACCGTCGAGTAGCACCCTGAACCATCTTGCGAACAAATGAGCGCACGGAGCCGAAACATGCACGGGGACGCCCGAGCGATGGCAGGAGGCCGCGCAGCCGAGTATATATATATATATATATATATTAAAACCATCCCGTAGGCGTCTCACGTATTTTTTGTCTCGTTTGGGCCGGCGCCCAGGGCCTCTCAGCCGGCCCAAGATGCGCCCAGGAGGGCGCCAAGGCGGGCCCGGAGACCAGATGATCGGCAACGCCTAAGCATGCTTCTGCTGTGTCTGCGTCGGCTTCTCCTCACGTGCGCTGCGGCCCAATCTGCATCTAGCGCGCCCCACTGATGCCCGATCGCCGGAGCAGTAGCCTCTGCCCAGCCGCCGACGCGAAAATGGTGTGCCTGCGTCGGGCCCCCCAACGGGGCGACGCGCGCGCGCTCGGAAGTCTTGTGGTGTAGCCTGGTGGTGGGCGCTGTCTGTACTGAATGCTCGGTCCAGGCGTGCGCCTCCAAGGGGGGCGCACAAGAGCGTCCTTCTGGGTCCCGTCCTGGGCCACGGTAGAAGGATGGAAGAAATGCCAGCCACGCTCTCCGGAGGCCTTCCAAAAAGTCAGGCGAGAGCCGCCCTGGTAGCGCCCACGAGAGCCCGTGCATCCGGGCCCTGGGTCCGCTGAGAACTCGCAGGAAACGGAGGACGCTCCACTTCGTGCCTCGGGGCACTGTGGCGGATAATTCGGCGCAGAAAGGAAAATTTGAGCTGTTCATGTATCGGCTGATCCACAGGTGCAGCTGTTTAGGTGGTGTGCGCAAGCTTTTCGTAATGCTACCTCAAGGGGGGGAGCGCTCTGGACCCCACACGGTGCGTTTACTGAACAGTCCTGGGCGCGTACAAAAGAGTCCTACCCTAGTTGTGTTTTTCCTTGATTGCTTTTACTTTTATACTGGGCCTCGCTTGCAGGGGTGCGTGCTATAAGGGTGTATGTTGCCTTCTGGTACGGTCGCAGTGGGTCCTTTGCAGTTTGCTTGAGGCTGTTGTTTACGCTGTCAGAGTTCAGGACACGGTAGTCACGATGTTGTCTCTTTGATTCGGGTGTCAGCTTGCAGTGTCGTAGCCAGGGCCGCTATTTCAAAACTACTCGAACACAACCTGGCCAGCCGACCTGCCGAACATGTGTACTACGCCATTAGTACACCTGTTAGCTTGTTGTGTATCATGTGTGGTACAGGTCCTGGCCTTCAGCCATCCTCCAGGTGTCCTGCTCTCCGTGCGGCGATAATTCATGTTTTACATAAGCGATGACAGCTTCGCTTGCAATATGCCCGTCTCCTCCGTTATTCTACCCGTCTGCTTGTCTCTCTTCCTCGTGTTTGTGTATGTTTTCTGTCGCTTTATACTTCTTCCCTTATCCAGGTCTCCCTATCCTCAGTGCCTGTACAGATTTTTGTGGATAGCCCAAAAGGGCTCCCGAACATCAGATTCGGATTTCTTCCTCTCCTGCGAGCCCCGAGCGCATGTGTGGCGCCTGCTGCTCCCGTGCGCGGCTCGAACGGAGGGAGGCCAATCGAGCAGACTGCAAGCGTGTGCTCCAAAAGCCGTTTGCATGCTTTTATGCGACTGTCCACGTCGGTGACCACGCGATCCGTTCCTGTTCCGTCGTTTCTGTCTCTCGCACCGTCTGGCCTGCTGTTTCAAAGTTTTGGTGCAGGATGCGGGCATTTCCATGCCAGAGGCTCTGGGCGAGCTCCAGAGAAACATATCACCCTCGATGAAATTCACCTCAAACATGCGTTGCGCAGTTTTCTTGTCGATGAGATGTTCTGGATTTGGGTGGTACTGCGCGTCGAGTACTTGTTGGAGCCCCCCTTCCAATGTCGGCCATCGTGAAACTGCCGAGTCGCACCCGCTCATACCGCGTTTCGCCTTGCTTCGACATTGAAGGAGGGCGACATTGAAGGGGTGGATGGGGCCGACATGGAAGGGGTGCGCCAACCATTTTTGAGGTTGACTGTGTCGAGGGTTGTAGGACGCTGTTTGCAGAGAGTCCCCGAGCACACTCGTCGGATTCTTCGCGGTAGTCTTATCTAGAACTCGCGCGACCGCCAAAGTGGGGCTCTCGGGGAGGCCAGAAAGGGCGGGCCTCGGGCAGGGCTGACGGGCGAACTCGCGTGGCAGGAGGTGCAAATTGTTCGGTGCTTTGCGCCCGTGATGCTGTCCGCGGGCGTTCCGACCAGCATTCCGACCCGAGAGTGCAAGACGTTCGAAGCGTGTCACCCGACAGACGCACGCGTGGTCGCAAGTGGGTGGAGGGACGTGAAGATCTGCCGCGCTGAGCACAGTGGCGAGCTGAACGGACATCTGATTGTTGCACCCTCCTCTTTCGCCTTCTCCTCCTTTCCCCTCTCCACATGGGGCGTCTCGGAAAGGGTCTCGTCTTTGGCGCACCCGCGGCTTACGGCGGAAGCCAGTGGAAGGCCGGCGAAGTGGTGGAAGGTGGAAGTAAATTTCGGCGGCAGGTCCGCCGGCGGAAGCTGGCCGAAGGCCGGCGGAAGGCGGCGGACGTCGATCTTTTTGGATCCAGGTTGTACAGGGTCGGCCGAAACGAGCGCTGATGCGTCTGCCATGGTAGTGTCTTTCTGGTGCGTTTGGTCTGCAGCGCCCCCCCCGACTCTGCTCTGCCAGCCGTTCGGCGGACCGGCCGATGTGCAGAACATCTCGACGTCGAGACATCTGGGCCAGCCGAACCACGATCCGGCTTGCAGTCAAAACGTTGGGGTAAGGGTTTTTGTTTTGGTTTCGGACGGGGCTCGATGTTTCTCTTAGGTTACACACGGGAACTTTGCCAGCACTCTCGGAGCGCGTTTCGTTCGAGTGATTCAGGCGACGCGTCAGTTCCGGAGCGTTTGAGAGAGCGTCGTCGTCGGCCATTCCGACGAGGTCCGACGGGCTGAGGGGCTGAATCCTTGCGGGCTTGGCCGCCTCGCCCCTCTCTGCCACGGCGCGTCCGGACTCGAGGCTGGGGAGCGCGGCCCCACCACGGTGCGGCCGGCGGCAATCTCGTCGGAGGGGAGGGGCTGGCTTCGGTCCCGGCCCGTGCAGGAGAAACGGGGCAGCAACTGTGCCGCCTTGGCGTGTCTCTTCATCAGCTGACAGCTAGCGCCCATACCTGTGCGACCCCCAGATTTCTCGGGGTGGGTGTTGTCGGATGGGGTTCCCCGCTCGAACGGGAGCCCTCCTCGGCGTTCGGCAACTCGCGCCCATACCTCTAGCGCCGTCGACTCCTTCACTCCCCCGCTCCTCCTCCAGGTTTGAGTGCTTGTTGATCTTGCATCATCTCTGGCAGTGAAGCTTTGCCTGATGCGCACCAATTAAGGCAAGTCAAGCGCGTACCAGGCGCGCACACTTGATCACGTGTCGGACTGTTGGTGCTTTTGGAGGAAAATAGAGAAACAGTTGACCCCCGTGTCGAGCTTCATGCCAACCCGAGAGTGAGGCTTGCGGCACTGCTTGCAGTAATACTTGGCGCGTGCTTGGGCCAATCGGGGGTGCCATTCACGAGCGATTCGTTCGAGCGGGGGTTCCCCCCTGTGGACAAAAATCGGCGCCCGTGGTGCGTCATCCTCGCAGAACCTCACGTCGAGCATGTCGCTTCTGGGGCAGCCTCTCACACGCAGGTGCGGTAGGCTCGTGTTGTGTCGACGCAGCGGCGATCCCAGCGTGGGCGTCAAAGGCTGAACGCCGCTGGCGGCCTGGTATCGGCCGACATCGAACGATTCGCGCAGTCGAAACGCCGCGCTCGTCCAGCGTTGAACGATCCACGAGGTTGTCCGGAACCGACGCCCAGGTCGTCACAACACGAACCTGCCGTGTCCACCCCTGCAAGAGTCATGATCATCGTCTCGTGTTTTCTCTCATGGATAGGCCACGAGGTCCAAGCCCCTGGTGGGCGGTGGCCCACTGACCAGGTCCGTCTGCAGCGAGGTGCATGCAGGGTGAACACGTCCACGGCGGCGCGAGGGACACGTAGCCCAAGCCCCGCTTTCTGGGGCCCGTTTCGATCCGATCGGTCCGATTCGTTACAGATTCCAAACGGCCCGATCCGATTCGGTTCCGGTGTTCCGACGCTCCGATGGGGTCCGATGCTTGCGTGGCGTTGTTGTGCATCCTGGCGCAGCCGGTCCGATTCGGTTTCGGCTCCGTGCCGATGTGGCCCTGTTGAACGCACATTCCGACTCGATCCGGTTGCTCGATTCGATGCTGGCTGGTCTTGGACTGGCTGAAGTACCATCTCAGACCGATGTCTCGCGGCCTCAAGGGCGAAGAGCCTCTTCGATCCTCCTCTTCTCCCTCCTCCAGCAGCCTCGCCTCCGCTTTTTTTTTGCGCCGGGCGGCGGCTGTTCGGAGGACGCCACCGATGCTCTCCGCCGAAGCGGGACAGGCTCATCCTGGGCCCAGGGTCGGTTGGTGTGCGTGCCTTGCTGAGGCCGGCGCAGGAAGTTCCTTACACGACTCTGGGTCCAGGAAGGGCCTTGCCAGGATAGGCGTGGTGCGTCGCTAGCGTCCCCCTCCCAGGGATCCGATGTCTTGGTCTTCTCAGCATGGGGCCCCTGGAAGTCCCGACCTCTTTCCAATTGGCTGGCTTGTCACCCCGAGTTGTTTGCTGACGGTCCCGGAGCCCAGGCACCCAGGTCACCCGCGGGGGCGCGAAGGTGATCGCGCTTGGCACGTCGCGGTCCTGGCCAGAGTTTCCATGGATGGCGCGGGGGCGTGATGCCGAGAGGGTGGCCGTGCGTCGCGCTTCGTGGGGCGCCATGCACGACGTCAGATGACGCAGGAGGCGCCGAATCGGTGACGAGACCCGAGCCCCGCCCCCGCCGCCCACCGATCTGGATCGGCAGGGGCTCGGCGGCGGTCACTTCGCCCGTGCCCGCGTGTGTTCTCGGAGCCGTCGCCGGTGTCCCCCTGGGCCCCTGGAGTTCGGGGACGGGGGATGGGACACGTCTGGAGGGGATGGGCTCAAGTCGGGCCTGCCTCTCTACGGGGGGAATATATCCAAAAGCAGTCCAAAGACAGTCCGGGGACGACTTTGTGTCCATTTCCGAGCAATTGTTGATAGTGTGTTCTTCGAGCATTTCTGTCTCTCGTCCAAAATCCGCCTGTAGGGGGACCTGCCCGACCTGATGATAGGCTCCGCAGGAGGGGCTTTGCACCGACGCCCGCTCGCCCATGGCTCGCCGCGGGGTGCCCGAGAGCCCGCCCCGCCCCCGAGAGAGCGCGCGGCCTCGCTGTTTGGGGGCCCAGCGCCGATCCATCGGCGATGCGTCGCCGATTTGTAGGGCGACGTGTCCCCCCCGGAGCCGTTTCCCTCCCTGCGGTGGGGGGCGATCGTCGAGGAATGCTCCCCGGAGGCTTCCGACCCCGAAGGGCTCCTTGTCTGACGAGGGCGGCGGAGATATCAGTGGCCAAGCCTCAGTCGGTGTTCGTCGGTCGGTCGATCGGGAAAACGCAAGACTCGAGTGCGCCGGAAATCGGGTTCGCCGACGCTTTTTGACGAGCGCGTCTTGGAGTTTGACGGTCGAGTTCTCGTGGGATATCTGCAGCGGGAGCTCGCGTCAAATTTCAGATTGGGTCTCGTCATTTTCATGATGGCCCCGCCAGGCCAACCCGAGTCCCCCGAACCCGAGTCCTACGTCTCCCCGATGCGGACTGCCCAGTGGCTCCTGATACATTTGTATGTCTGTCTGTCTGTCTGCTGTATGTATACATATAACGGCGCACCGGGTCCGGGGGCCCGGGGCCGGGACCCCGACCACAAATGTGCACCCCGGGGGGCCCGGAGGCTCGTCGGGGCTTGCCGGAGGCCTCCCCGGTCAGACAAGACGGCCCCAGGAGCGCCCAAGACGGCCCAAGAAACTTCCAAGAGGCCTCCAAGAGGGCTCCGAGATGCTGAAGATGGCCTCCAGACGTCCAAGGACGCCCCCAAGAGGCCCCAAGAAGCCTCCAACATGCGTCCCAAGAGGGCCCCTAGACGCAAAAATTGGCCCATTCCCTTCGTAAAACGTACATTTTTCAACAAAGTTGCTTTTTGGGCTTTCCGACGTTACAGGACGGCCCACGAGGCGCCCAAGACCGCCCCAAGACGGCCCAAGAAGCTTCCCCAGGACAGCCCAAGAGGGCCCCAAGACGGCCCAAGAGGCGCCCAAGATGGCCCAAGAGGGCCCCAAGACGGGCCCAAGAGGGGGCCCAGAGGGGGACCACGAACCGCAAGCTCGAGCCTTCCGCCCCAAGAGGCCGCCAGGAGGCCCCCAGGAGGCCCCTCAAGAGGCCCCAGGAGACCCCAGACGTCCAAGGACGCCCCCAAGAGGCCCCAAGAAGCCTCCAACATGCGTCCCAAGAGGGCCCCTAGACGCAAAAATTGGCCCATTCCCTTCGTAAAACGTACATTTTCAACAAAGTCGCCTTTTGGGCTTTCCGACGTTACAGGACGGCCCAAGAGGCGCCCAAGACCGCCCCAAGACGGCCCAAGAAGCTTCCAAGAGGGCCCCAGGACAGCCCAAGAGGGCCCCAAGACGGCCCAAGAGGCGCCCAAGATGGCCCAAGAGGGCCCCAAGACGGGCCCAAGAGGGGGCCCAGAGGGGGACCACGAACCGCAAGCTCGAGCCTTCCGCCCCAAGAGGCCGCCAGGAGGCCCCCAGGAGGCCCCTCAAGAGGCCCCAGGAGACCCCAGACGTCCAAGGACGCCCCCAAGAGGCCCCAAGAAGCCTCCAACATGCGTCCCAAGAGGGCCCCTAGACGCAAAAATTGGCCCATTCCCTTCGTAAAACGTACATGTTCAACAAAGTTGTCTTTTGGGCTTTCCGACGTTACAGGACGGCCCAAGAGGCGCCCAAGACCGCCCCAAGACGGCCCAAGAAGCTTCCAAGAGGGCCCCAGGACAGCCCAAGAGGGCCCCAAGACGGCCCAAGAGGCGCCCAAGATGGCCCAAGAGGGCCCCAAGACGGGCCCAAGAGGGGGCCCAGAGGGGGACCACGAACCGCAAGCTCGAGCCTTCCGCCCCAAGAGGCCGCCAGGAGGCCCCCAGGAGGCCCCTCAAGAGGCCCCAGGAGACCCCAGACGTCCAAGGACGCCCCCAAGAGGCCCCAAGAAGCCTCCAACATGCGTCCCAAGAGGGCCCCTAGACGCAAAAATTGGCCCATTCCCTTCGTAAAACGTACATGTTCAACAAAGTTGTCTTTTGGGCTTTCCGACGTTACAGGACGGCCCAAGAGGCGCCCAAGACCGCCCCAAGACGGCCCAAGAAGCTTCCAAGAGGGCCCCAGGACAGCCCAAGAGGGCCCCAAGACGGCCCAAGAGGCGCCCAAGATGGCCCAAGAGGGCCCCAAGACGGGCCCAAGAGGGGGCCCAGAGGGGGACCACGAACCGCAAGCTCGAGCCTTCCGCCCCAAGAGGCCGCCAGGAGGCCCCCAGGAGGCCCCTCAAGAGGCCCCAGGAGACCCCAGACGTCAAGGACGCCCCCACGACGCTTCGCGTCACCAATTTCTTCTCACAACGATTCCTGGGTCTGTGACTCGACAGAACCTAAGCGCGCGCGAAGCGCGCGCGTGGTTCTAGTATGTATGTATGCATGCATGCATGCATGCATGCATGTATGCATGTATATACGTACATACGTATGCATGTGTATATGCATGTATGTATGGATGCATGTAGGTATGTATGTATGCATGTATGTATGCATATATATATATACACGTATGTATGTGTGTACGTATGTATATGTATATATATATGCATGTATATATATATAGATGTGTATGCATGCGTGTATGTATGTATGCATGCATCTATGCATGTATGTAGGTATGCACGTATGTATGTATGTATGCATGTATGTATGTATGTATGTATGTGTGAATATGGATGTGTGTATGCATGTATTTATGTTTCTATGCACCTATGTATGTTTGTGAATGTCTGTTTGTATTTACGTACGTATCCATGCATGCATGCATGCATACGCATATGTATATACATGTATGTACGTATGCGTGTGTATGTATGTACGGGTCATGTATATATGTATGTATGTATCCACATGTGTGTATGCATGTATGCAGGTATGTTTGCAGGTATGTATGTATGTAATCATGTATGTATGTATTTAAATATGTATGTATTATGTATGGATGCATGCATGTGTGTATGTATGTGTATGTATGTATGTATTTATGCATGTATGTATGTATACCTTTATGTATGTATGTGTGTGTATATGTATGTATGTATATATGTATGTATATGTATATGTATATGTACATGTATATGTATATGTATATGTATATGTATGTATGTATCTATGTATGTATGTATGTATGTATGTATGTATGTATGAATGTATATGTTTGTATGCATGTATGCCTGTATGTATGTATGTTTGCGTGCATGTATGCATGCATGTACGTATATATGTGTCTATGCATGCATGCATGCATGTATGTATCTGTGTGCATGTATGTATGTATGCATGCCTGTATGTATGTATATGTGTATATGTTTATGCATGTATGTATGCATGTATGTATGTTTGTGTTTATGCATGTATGCATGTATGCATGTATGCATGTATGCATGTACGTTTGTATGCATGTATGCATGTATGAATATATGCATGTATGTGTATGTACGTATGTATGCATGCATGCATGCATGCATGCATGCATGTATGTATGTATGTATGTATGTATGTATGTATGTATTTATGCATGAATACACATATATATATGTATATGTATATGTATATGTGTATATATATATATATATATATATATATATCCTCTTCCTGTAGCTTTACAAGCCCGGGGGGGGGAAACCATCCCCCCCCCCAAAAAAATACTGGACCCCTGGGATCTGGGGTTCTCGGGCTCCCTTGAACGTCCTTGGAAAAGGTCACCTGGCTTTCCAGGGGTCATCAGAAAGGCTCAAGGGAGGCCCCAGACAGCACAAGAGCGCTCCAAGAGGGACTCCAATTGCGTCTGGACGGCCCAAAAGACCCCCAAGGCACCCCAAAAAGCTTTCCAAGGGGCCTTCAAAGCACAAACATCGCCCCATTCCCTTCGTAAAACTTACAATTTTAGCATATTCGCCTTTCGGATTTCATCAGCTTTCAAGACGGTTTCAAAGCCCCCGAGATCGCCTCCAGACGCGCCAAAAGGCCCCCAAGAAAGCTTCAAGACGGCCGAGCCGGGCCCCACGATCGCCCACGAGAGGCCCAAGACAGCCCATAATGGAACCAAGAGGCCCCCCAAGGGCTCCCAGCACAGACCCAAAAGGGCCATGGGAGGTCCCCGGAAGTGCCCAAGATGGGTCCAAAGGGGGCTCCAGCGGGCCCAAGCTCCCCAAGACGGCCCAAGAAGGCCCCAGGACGGCCCATGAAGGCGCCAAAACGGCCCACGAGGGCCCCGAAAACACCCCCACGATGTTTCCGAATGCCAACATCAAGACCCCCAAGGCACCCCAAAAAGCTTTCCAAGGGCCCTTCAAACTACAAAAATCGCCCCATTCCCTCCGTAAAACTTACAATTTCAGCATATTCGCCTTTCGGATTTAATCAGCTTTCAAGACGGTTTCAAAGCACCCGAGATCGCCTCAAGACGCCCCAAAAGGCCCCCGAGAAAGCTTCAAGACGGCCGAGCCGGGCCCCACGATCGCCCACGAGAGGCCCAAGACAGCCCATAATGGAACCAAGAGGCCCCCCAAGGGCTCCCAGCACAGACCCAAAAGGGCCATGGGAGTTCCCCGGAAGTGCCCAAGATGGGTCCAAAGGGGGCTCCAGCGGGCCCAAGTTCCCCAAGACGGTCCAAGAAGGCCTCAGGATGGCCCATGAAGGCGCCAAACCGGCCCACGAGGGCCCCGAAAACACCCCCACGATGTTTCCGAATGCCAACATCAAGACCCCCAAGGCACCCCAAAAGGCTTTCCAAGGGCCCTTCAAACTACAATTATCCCGGCAAAGCAACCTAACATCGATGTGTAGGAGCATATCTGGAAGCATTCCCCTTAAGATTCGGATGAGAATCCAGTTGTAGAATTCTGCTGTTCTCGCAGTCGTAGTCGCATTCGCGATGACAGTCGCAGTGGCAACGGCAGTCGCAGTCACAGCCTCAGCCTCAGCCTGCCTCAGCCTCAGCCTCAGCCTGCCTCAGCCTCAGCCTGCCTCAGCCTCAGCCTCAGCCTCAGCCTCAGCCTCAGCCTCAGCCTCAGCCTCAGCCTCAGCCTCAGCCTCCTCAGCCTCAGCCTCAGCCTCAGCCTGCCTCAGCCTCAGCCTCAGCCTCAGCCTCAGCCTCAGCCTCAGCCTCAGCCTCAGCATCAGCCTGCCTCAGCCTCAGCCTCAGCCTCAGCCTCAGCCTGCCTCAGCCTCAGCCTCAGCCTGCTTCAGCCTCAGCCTCAGTCTGCCTTCAGCCTCGGCCTCAGCCTCAGCCTGCCTCAGCCTCAGCCTGCATCAGCCTCAGCCTCAGCCTCAGCCTGCCTCAGCCTCAGCCTCAGCCTCAGCCTCAGCCTCAGCCTCAGCCTCAGCCTCTGCCTTCAGCCTCGGCCTCAGCCTCAGCCTGCCTCAGCCTCAGCCTGCATCAGCCTCAGCCTCAGCCTCAGCCTGCCTCAGCCTCAGCCTGCATCAGCCTCAGCCTCAGCCTGCCTCAGCCTCAGCCTCAGCCTGCTTCAGCCTCAGCCTCAGTCTGCCTTCAGCCTCGGCCTCAGCCTCAGCCTGCCTCAGCCTCAGCCTGCATCAGCCTCAGCCTCAGCCTCAGCCTGCCTCAGCATCAGCCTGCCTCAGCCTCAGCCTCAGCCTGCCTTGGCCTCAGCCTCAGCCTGCTTCAGCCTCAGCCTCAGTCTGCCTTCAGCCTCGGCCTCAGCCTCAGCCTGCCTCAGCCTCAGCCTGCATCAGCCTCAGCCTCAGCCTCAGCCTGCCTCAGCATCAGCCTGCCTCAGCCTCAGCCTCAGCCTGCCTCAGCCTCAGCCTCAGCCTGCTTCAGCCTCAGCCTCAGTCTGCCTTCAGCCTCGGCCTCAGCCTCAGCCTGCCTCAGCCTCAGCCTGCATCAGCCTCAGCCTCAGCCTCAGCCTGCCTCAGCATCAGCCTGCCTCAGCCTCAGCCTCAGCCTGCCTCAGCCTCAGCCTCAGCCTGCTTCAGCCTCAGCCTCAGTCTGCCTTCAGCCTCGGCCTCAGCCTCAGCCTGCCTCAGCCTCAGCCTGCATCAGCCTCAGCCTCAGCCTCAGCCTGCCTCAGCATCAGCCAGCCTGCCTCAGCCTCAGCCTCAGCCTGCCTCAGCCTCAGCCTCAGCCTCAGCCTCAGCCTCAGCCTCAGCCTCAGCCTGCCTTCAGCCTCGGCCTCAGCCTCAGCCTGCCTCAGCCTCAGCCTGCATCAGCCTCAGCCTCAGCCTCAGCCTCAGCCTCAGCCTCATCAGCATCAGCCTGCCTCAGCCTCAGCCTCAGCCTGCCTCAGCCTCAGCCTCAGCCTGCAGCCTCAGCCTCAGTCTGCCTCAGCCTGAGCCTCAGCCTCAGCCTGCAGCCTCAGCCTCAGCCTCAGCCTCAGCCTCAGCCTGCAGCCTCAGCCTCAGCCTCAGCCTCAGCCTCAGCCTGCCTCAGCATCAGCCTGCCTCAGCCTCAGCCTCAGCCTGCCTCAGCCTCAGCCTCAGCCTGCTTCAGCCTCAGCCTCAGTCTGCCTTCAGCCTCGGCCTCAGCCTCAGCCTGCCTCAGCCTCAGCCTGCCTCAGCCTCAGCCTCAGCCTGCCTCAGCATTCAAAATGTGGCCCGGGAATGGAATTCTGGGAACTCGAAGAACACGAAGTGGCCTACAGTTGGCTCCGGGCATTCAAAATCATGCCCAGGAATGGAATTCTGGGAACTCGAAGATCACGAAGTGGCCTACAGTTGGCTCGGGGCATTCAAAATGTGGCCCGGGAATGGAGTTCTGGGAACTCGAAGAGCACGAAGTGGCCTACAGTTGGCTCCGGGCATCCAAAATGTGGCCCGGGAATGGAGTTCTGGGAAGTCGAAGAGCACGAAGTGGCCTACAGTTGGCTCCGGGCATCCAAAATGTGGCCCGGGAATGGAGTTCTGGGAAGTCGAAGAGCACCAAGTGTGTGACTGTTGCATCCGGTTATTCAGAATGTGGCCTGGGAATGGGGTTCTGAGAGGTCGACGAGCACGAAGTGTGTGACTGTTGGTGAAAAACGAGCCCGGCACAGGCCCGGCCGGCAACTCCCAACGCCTGCCCGGACCCCCCTGTGGAGTGATCTGTGAGCTCTTTTGAGTCAACTAGAAACCTATCAGTCTTCGCTGTTAGGTAAAAATCGCCCCATTCCCTTCGTAAAACATTCAATCTTAGCATATTCGCCTTTCGGATTTCATCAGCTTTCAAGACGGTTTCAAAGCCCCCGAGATCGCTTCAAGGCGCTCCAAAAGGCCACCTTAGAAAGCTTCAAGACGGCCGAGCCGGGCCCCACGATCGCCCACGAAAGCCCCAAGACAGCCCATAATGGAACCAAGAGGCCCCCCAAGGGCTCCGAGCACAGACCCAAAAGGGCCATGGGAGTTCCCTGGAAGTGCCCAAGATGGGTCCAAAGGGGGCTCCGGCGGGCCCAAGCTCCCCAAGACGGCCCAAGAAGGCCCCAGGATGGCCCGTGAAGGCACCAAAACGGCCCACGAGGGCCCCGAAAACACCCCCACGATGCTTCCGAATGCCAACATTCATTGATTTTGCTCCCATGACATTTCACATTGTGACGCAGTCGTTGAGGGTCTCGTGGCATGCAGCGAAGATGCCCGAGGATGCCCCGTACCTTACACACATACATGTATATGTACATGTGTACGCTGTATACACACATACAACAATGTAAGTATATTGTATACACCTAGACATTTATGCGGAACGTGCATGCACGTGCGCGTGTATACATGCATGCGCGCATGTACGCACGCACGCATTCTTCTTGCGTGCAGAACTCAAAGGACCAAGGTGCATGGCGCGCAGCGCCAATGCAGTCTTGTATATATATATATATATATCTATATCTATATCTATATATATATATATATATATATATATATATACGCGATGCCCTCACCGTTCCGTTTCCCCTCAGGCAGGTGAAGGGGCAGGGCTCACGCGTGGTCGTCTGGCGAAGAGGCCTCCGCCCTCGACCCCCCCTCCGAGACGTCGGATGCCTGTGCCGGCCGTGGCGGCTGCCGGGCCGAGCCGCGCCGTAGGCGCGAGCGCGGCGCCCTCGCGGCGGCCCTCGGGCGCCGCGCGCGCACGCGCGCGCCGCCGCGCCGCCGCGACGGCACCGCGGGCGCCGCGCTGCCCCGCTCAGGCCCCCCCCCCTCTGGGGCCGGGCGTTCCGCCCCCCCCCCCGTCTGGGGCTCAACATCTCGGCCCCTCCGATGGGATTCGTTTCGAGTCGCTTCGACGTCGACGGCCTCCAGTGCCTGTCCGAGTCGGCCTCGGATTGCGAGCTGGGACCCAGTTTCTCAATGGAGGCCCTGCCAGCCTGCCGATTTCCGCCGAGTGCCGAGTCGGCTCCTCCCGAGTTGGCCGCCGACTTCCGCCAATCCGATTCATGTCGATCGCCTGCCATCCAACCGCACCTTCTCTCCTTTGGTGGAGACGTCACGACGCAGGGTTTCTGTCGGTCTTCGGCTCGCCTGCTGGAGAGGCCGCGATGCGCAGGGCTCTCGGCGGGCCGTCAGAGAGGGGGCGAGAATCTGGCCCAGGGAACCCAGAGATCCGACGCTTCGACAAAAATTGGAGCGGCGGGTTTTTTGGCTGTTTGTCGGCCTCGGGGGGCCGTCGCCGGGCCTCGGGACCGTCAACAGAACGGCTGAGGACGAACAGCCGGCCCTGCGGAAGTGGTCCAGACCTCCGGGGCCCGCGCGTCGAACGAGAATGGGGCGGAAGGGTGTCTGGGATCGGGGTTGGACAGAGCCCCCACCCTGACACGTCGATCAGTGAATTGTCCGTTTTCGGTTTTCGAGAGGGCGCCGCGGCCGTCATTTTCCAGGCTTGCGCCCGCCAGGTTTGGGCCCGAGGTCGTTTGCACCAAACCACGTTTTGCCAAAGGGGGTTCTGTCCATCCCCGATGGGAAGAGGTCCAGACCTCGTTGGGTCCACGTTTGAGAGAAAGTCACGACGTCCGTAGTCTGGGCGTGCGCGCATCATTGCGGGCGGCCCACTGGCGGGCGGCCGAGTGGCAGATGTGGGGGTCCTTGGCGGCTTTCGGCGTTCTCGAGGCTCGATGTATTCGGGCGTTTTTTGTTTGTTTTCTCGGCTCAGCGGCAGTTTTGCAGCCTGGGTCTGCCTTTCTGCAGGCTTCGGATTCGAGGCTCGAGGCTTTCAGTATCTTTGATCGGCTGGAGGCGGTTTTCCAGCCTCGGGAGGCCTTCCAGCAGCTGCGCTCCGCCCAGAGCGTTCTGCGGTTGCCTTGATCCTCCTGAGCGGCAGTCGGGGATTCGATTCCAGACCCGAATGCCAGACCCCCTCGCGTTGCGTAAACGCTCGCGACGGAAGGCTTCTGGCACTTATCCATCTCGTGGGGCCCTTGCCAGACCGCTATGACCGTCAGCGAAACGACTCAGGACGATGAGCAGGTCCTGTGGACGGGGTCGAGCACCGAAAGGTCAGTGGGACCCACGGTGTAGAAAGAGAAAGAGAGAGAGAGAGAGAGAAGCGCCGTGCACTTCAGAGGTGCGGTGGCAAGCAAATGCAACAACAAGTTCCGCTGCCGGAGGCGCGGCTCCGAAACAAGAAGACGCCGTGCAGACACCGACAGCGACGACGGCGGCTGCGGCGGAGGCGAGGGGGCAGGATGGCGAGGGGAGGAGGACGAAGGCGAGGAGGAGAGCGAGGAGGAAACAGCACTGGCAGGCTCCCTGTGCAGCAACAACGAAAAACCAGACGTCGGAGGCTTGGGCCCGAGCCGGGGGAGGGCGTCGGGCCCGGGGGGTGCTGCGCTGCCCTCTCTGGGTCGGCCGTTGCGCGCGGGCGCGCGCCTGGGGGCGGAGGGGGTCCGCCTCCGGGAGACCACGTCCGCTGCCTCGGGGTCGCCTGGCATCGCGCACGGAGGTCCGCCCGCCCCTGAGCCGAGGGCGGGGAGGTGCAGGAGGGGCACTTCCGCTCTGCATGGGCAACCTGGCCCGAGCAGCGCGGTCGCTCCAGCCCAGACCCGCCCTCCAGGCAGCTCTGCGCGCCGCCGTGCGGGCCCCAGGCAGGTTGTGCTGGCCCGGCAAAGGGAGGGAGGAGGGCGGACAGGCGAGAGGGGGTGCCGGGCGGAGACAGCAGGCAGGGAGCAGGAGGAAAGGGAAGTAAGGAGGAGGAGGAGTAGGAGGAGGAGGAGAGGGGACCCTGCGATCCTGGCGACTCAGTTTTTAGTTGAGCCTTGTGTTTTCGCTCAATTTCGGGCCCTGGGGCCCTCACATATCGATCCTCTTCGAAGAATGACGCAGAAAGATGTGGTCCAGGGGTCTGGTCGTGATTTTTTGCGATGTTGCAAGCAGACAAGGCAAGGAGCAGAAGGAAAAGGAGGAAGGGGAGGATGATGAGGCGGAGAGGACGGGGAGCAGTCGCAGGCAGACAGGCCGGGCCAGGGGCCAGGAGAGAAGAGCCACCCGCGACGAGGCTATGGACCCTACGGCGGCGACCTGGGCGGGGGGTGGCCGACCGACCCCAGCACGGTGCGGCTTTGTGGGGATAGCCCTTAGCAGGATCACCTACCTCCCGCCGAAGAGGGGCCACACGGTGCGTGTAAAGGGTCGCCAGCGCGACGTTGGCGAAAGTGCGCAGGGCGTGTCCGTGCTGCCCAGCAAGGGCGGGGGGGAGGGCGGGGGGCGCCATGCCGCGCCAAGGGAACCCGTGGAGGCAGCCGTGGCCGCGGCCAGGCGGGCCGCTGCCGCCCTGCTCCTCCGGATTGTGTGTGTGGGGGCACCGCAACACTGCCCGCGCGTTCTCCTTGTGAATGGAAGCGGGTCGTCGCTGGGCGTGTCGGTCGGCAATAAGTGCGGCGTCTTCCCCCGTGGCGTCAGCCACCCGCCCGCTTGGCCAGGACCCCGAATGCCTTGCATGCCTCCCGGCCCCGCCCGCCGCCGTGCCGTGGGCTTCCACCGCAATGGGGAAGAAGGTGACGCCCTGTGTCGCGCACTGCCGCGCGGTGTCCTGGTGTTACTTTTTGAGCTCCTCGTGCCGCTACGTCGCCGCGCTGGACGAAGCGGCCGACGCGGCGGGAACATCGGTTCGTAGCCCGGACGTGGCGGCAAAGTCCCAGGCGGCCGCCGTGCCGTTGCGCCGCCGTGGCAAGTACACGTTGACAGGGCGGCGGCCGTTGTCGTCCACCTTGGGCCCCGCCATATTCGCCCCCAGGGATGGCGTCCCCGGCGGGGCGCGGGGGTAGCAGCCCCAGGCGCTCCGATTCCGTCCTGGCGGGGCCAGCGGCCAGCGTTGCGCAGGGCGTTGCGGTTTTTGGCCTGGTCGCCGCGGCGGGCGCAGACCAGGGCGTGGTCGCAGAAGATTTCCATCACTTCGTCCCTGACTGGGCAGAATCATTCCTGCAGGAGCTAGACTCGCAGCCGGTTCTGCAGGCCGACCTGTATGAGGCCGCGTGGTAACGCGGTGCCGATAGCCCGCAGGTCGGCGCCTGGAACCACTCGGCATCGCCGTGCAGCCTGCAACTCATGTCGTGTCGCACGGTGTGCATTGCATACTTGCCAGCGTGGGCCGTCCTCCGTCGGGTAACATATGCATCGTTTGGCAGTTATGGTCGAAGCGTTTGTGGCAATGTTCGGACGGGGCTGGGACGAGGATTATCCGTTCCAGAGCGTTCCAGAACGCTTTAAGAGCGTTCCGGACCGCTCGGGGGAGGCCGCGGCGCCCGATTCATATTGTAAAACCGCCAAATTCCTGAGATTATCGATTTATCTTCCCCCGAATTCATCTTCGTCTTGGCTTCGTCTTAAATGTCCAGCGGGAGCCCGAATTTAAGCGGGAATTGTCCTCCATCCTTGTAGGTGCTGGGGACCTGAAAAACCGAACGTGCGCGGGGCTAGGGCGAAAACGTTTTGTTGGAAACGCTTCGCCCACCATGCTTGCGTTTGTTGGAGGTTTTTAAATTCTGCTGCTGCTGCTCCTCCTCCTCCTCCTTTTCCTCCTCCTTCTCCTTCTCTTCCTCCTCCTCTTCCTCCTCCTGCTCCTCCTCCTCCTCCCTCTCCTCCTCCTCCTCCTCCTCGTCCTCGTCCTCCTCCTCCTCCTCCTCCTCCTCCTCCTCCTCCTCCTCCTCCTCCTCCTCCCTCTAGGGCGAGCGGCGCTAAGGCGAGAGCCAGATTCTGAGCTCCACCCGCCTCCCGTCCGTGGAACAGAAGCGGTGCAGACGTCTCGGGCAGAGCGCGCGACATTTGCTGGCGGGGAGGAGCCACATACTTATCAGGGGGAGGGAATGGATGATGATGGACGATGATGTTGATGATGGCGGTGATGATGATGACGACGATGACGACGATGACAATGACAATGACAATGACAATGACAATGACAATGATCATGATGAGCATGATGACGATATGCTGATTCCGATGATGATTATGATAATACTGCTGATGCTGATGATTACGATGATTCAGTTGACGATGGCGACTGCGATGACGACGACGATGACGACGATGATGGCGATGATGCTCATGACGATGATGATGATGACGATGATGATGATGATGATGATGACGATCATGATAATGCTGATGATGATGATGATGATGATGATGATGATGATGATGATGATGATGATGATGATGATGATGATGATGATGATGTTGATGCTGATGATGACATGATGATGATGATGATGATGATGATGATGATGATGATGATGATGATGATGATGATGATGATGATGATGATGATGATGATGATGATGATGATGATGATGATGATCGGTGGCGTATTGCAGGAAGACCGGGGATCAGGAGAACCAGCACGTTGTCGGGCTCTGGCGGGGAGCCGCAACCGCGCGGTGCAGCCGCCACGGTTGCCCGACGGTCCGACGCACCCTGTTGTGTCTACACCCCGCCGCGCGGGTGTGACGGCCAGTGGTGCCCGAGGAGTGGACGAGGCACGGCAACTACAGAGATGATGACCCACAGAGCGTCATCACCCAGCTAAGGAGGGATTCCAGCACCAGCGACACGACCACGAAGCAGCCAACCGTAACGACGATGGCCTCCACGAACACCACGAATTATACCTCCACTGGCACCAGTGCGAAAAAGACCTCCGCGAGCATCCTCCCGGAGGCGGCCTCGAGGAACGCCAGCGTGAAGAAGACATTCGCGAAGAGCACCCTGGAGAAGGCCTTCACGAGCACATTGATGAAACATACTTTTACGAACACTCCGCAGAGTAGACCTCCAAGAGCACTGGCGCGAAGAAGACATCCACGAGCGTCCTCCCTGAAAAGGCCTCCGCGAACACAGTGGTGAGGACCTCCACGAGCGCCCTCCGAAGAAGGCCTCCGCGAACGCGAGTGAGGAACATCTTCGCGAGCATCCTCCGTAGAAGACCTTCACGAGGATTTCCAGGAAACAGATTTCTGTGAACATATTCCGAAGACGGCTTTCGCGAGCAGGAGCCCCAAGAGAACCTCTACGAGCACGCTCCTGGAGAAGGCCTCCGCGAGCACCTTCAGGAGTAAGACCTCCAGGAACACCCTCCGAAGAAGGTCATTAGGAACGCGGGAGTGAAGAAGACCTCCGCGAGCACCATTCCAGAGGAGGCCTCCACGAGCACGTCCATGAAGGAGACCTCTGCGATCACCCTCCGAAGAAGGCCTTTGCGAGCACCAGCGCAACGAGAACCTCCCAGAGAAGGCCTCCGCGAGTACCTTGATGGCGAAATCCTCCACGAACGCATTCAGAAGAGGCGTCTATGAACACCAGTGTAGCGAATAGTATTAAGCATATTATGAATGAGAATACTGATACTTTTACAGCGTCATAAGTCGAACCATAATAAGAGGGGACATTTCAAACGGAAACATACGACAACTAGTAGTACAAAGCAAGTAAGACAAACCATGAAACACGTACTATTCATATTATTAATACGAGCAAACATAATACTACAAAGCAGAAGTGTACCACTAGGAATACGTACACATTGGAAACTCTCCTTAATACTAACGCACTAGTACGAAACAATAACATCACCTCCACGAGCGCCCTCGAGGAAACGTCCTCCGCGATCGTCTTCATAAAGGAGACTGCCGTGGAAGCGCTGCACGACGACCCTGCCCACGTACAACTCCAAGGAACGCTCCGCGCGGAAGACCACGTCAAGGAAGCAGGAGCACGGCGTCCTCGACACCAGAATACCCCATCTACAGAATAATAGTGTTGTTTGCAAGAAGAAATCGCGAGACTGCGCGGCAAGGAACCACGATGGTTCTCTCGCAGCGCTGCTGGACCTGTGTTGAACGTCGCGTCGCCGGCGGCGGTCAGGGGCCCTTGCCGTGCACCTTACCCTGCTCGGCCCGACGGGAAGATGATCGTGTCCCTGAAGACTACGGCACTATCCTGCGCAGCACTTAGCGGAGAGATTCCGCGTACGGCCGACGGGTAGCGAGACACCAATCCAGCAGAGCTGGATCCACCCAGTCGCATGACAATCGAACGTGTGATGCATCTCGTGGAAGAAGGGGCCGAGAAAGAGGAAAAGGCTATAGTTGAACCACACCTTGGCCGCTGCACATTGCTGCGGTGTCTCAGAGTGGAAGCTGATGGTTTTCGGTGGCGTGCTGCAGAAACATAGGATATCAGGACAACCAGCACGTTGTTGGGCTGTGGCGGGGAGCCGCAACCGCGCGGTGCAGCCGCAACGGTTGCCCGATGGTCCGACGTTCCCTGTTGTGTCTGCGCCCCGCCGCGCGGGTGTGACGGCCACCTGTGACCAGAGAGCGACTCCAGCCAGGCAGTGCGGCCCGAGGGGTGGACGATGCGCGGCAACTCTTTATATATGATGATGATGGTGATGATGGTGAAGATGATGGTGATGATGATGGTCATGCTGCTGATGATGATGTCGATGATGGTGACAATGCTGCATATTCTGATGGTTATTATGAAGATGGTGGTGCTATGGGTGCTGCTGCTGATGATGCTGATGATGATTATGATGATTATGATGATGATTGTGATTATGCTTATGGTGATGCTGACGGTGATGGTGATGGTGGTGGTGACGATCATGAGGATGCTGATGATGATGGTGCTGATGCTGCTGCTGCTGCTGCTGATGATGATGATGATGATGATGATGATTCTGATGATGATGATGATGATGATGATGATGATGATGATGATGATGATGATGATGATGATGATGATGATGATGATGATGATGATGATGATGATGATGATGATGATGATGATGTGGTGGTGACGGTGATGATGCGGAGGAGGGGTAGAAGGAGGAGGAAGAGGAGGAGGGGGAGGAGGAAGAGGAGAAGGAGGAGGAGGCGGAGGAGGAGGAGGAAGATGAGGAGGAGGAAGAAGAGGATGAGTAGGAGAAGGAGGGTGCGGAGTAGGGGCAGGGGAAACAGGGAGGGGGGGTCGAACTCCAAGCTTCCGCACGTTTGGCTTGTCCTCCTGGGGCTCCGACGTCGTGATATTTTTCGCGTGGGCCTGGACCTTCTCCCGCGACCAGTTTCTCGTCCTGGGCCGTTTTTTCACGGTCGGGGGGTCCAGTGAGGGCTCCCAGAGGCCCACACCGGGTGTTGCTAGAAGTGCCCCTGGCCCAAGGTGCCCCCAGGATTTCCAAGGAGGTCCCCCACGGCCTCCAGAGCACCCCTCACGAGGCCCAGGGGGGCACAGGTGCTCCAAAATCGAGCAGACCGCCGGAGGCACTTTGACCCAGGGGCACTTCTAGCAACACCTGACAAAAACTGCCGAAAACCTCCGGTCGTGATTCTTCCCCGACGAGAGACAGTGGGGCCGGCAGGCCAGGGCAGGGCGCACCGCAGGTCCCCTGACGACCTCCTGGCCTCGCGGATGGCTTTCGCGAAGCCCGCGAAGCACGTCACGACCGCGGACTCCCTCGGAGGGTGGGGGGCCCGCCGGCGGTTGTGCGTGGGTTTCGGTGTTCACGGGCCAGCGTCGGGGGCTCTGCAGGCGGAGGAGAGGGATCAAGGAGAATCGAGGAGGATCCCTCCTCCCTCTTCGCGTGCGCCTCGTCCTCCTCCTCCTCCTCCTCCTCCTCTTCCTCCTCCTCCTCCTGGTGCACTCGGTCCATCTTCATCCTCGCCCTCAGAAAAATGAGGACGGAAGAGGGCAGAGGATCGATATGTTTTGCCGCGAGCTTTCGTTTTTGCCCTGGCGCCGTGTGGGTCGTGCTCCATGGCTGATGCCCTGTGATGCCTTATCGGTTGCGATTCCTCGTTCTTGGCCTAGTGCCCTTATTGGTGGTGTTGTATTGTGATTGGCCCATGATGCCTTTTGGTTGTGTTTTTTGTTGGCCTTGACCTGGTGCTTTATGGGTGGCGCCACTGCTGGTGCCCTATGATGCTTCAGTTCTTGGTTTGGTTCCCTATGGAGGGTGCGATATGGCCAGCGTCCGATTATGCCCAAATGGCCGATTGGTGGGGCTTTATGACTGGTGCCTTGTTTTGCCTTGATGGCTGCCACATGGCCGGTGCCCTCTTGGTGGTTGCGACCCCTCGCTGTTTAGCTGGTGCCTGGTGGGTGGTGCTGTACGGCTGGTTGCCAATGATGCCTTAGTGGTTGCGGTTTTCGGTCCCTGTCCTGGTGCCCTATGTGTGGGGCTCTATCGCTGGTGCCCTGTGATGCTTTTGTTATTGCGATTCCTCGTTCCGGCCTTGGTGCCTTATGTGCGCTGGTCTGTGGGTGGTACCACATGTTTCATTGATGTTTGCGATCCCGCGTTCTTGCCTGGGTGCTCTATGAGTGGTTGTCCATTGTGGTGCACTGTGGCGCATTCATTGTTAAGATCTCTCTTACTTGGTCATGTGCCCTAATGGAGGCTGTTCTGTGGTTGGTGCCATACGGTGCCTTAGTAGCTGCGATTTCTCGGTCTTTCTCGTGCACTGTGGGTGTGGTGTTCTATAGCTAGTGCCACATGATGCCTTTCATGTTGTGGTTGCTCGTTCTTGCCCAGTTTCCCTGTGGATGATACCCTCTGTGTTGCCTTATTGATGCGATCCTTCGTACTCGCCTTCGCGCCCTATTGGTCGCGCATGGCTGATTATGCGTTAAGATGCTTCATTGGTGGCTTTCTGCGGCTTGCGCTATGATGCCTCAACTATTGTGAGCTCTTTTTCTTGCTTTGATGCCTGGTGGGTGGTGCTCTGAGGTAGGTGCCCTTTGATCTGAGGCTGGTGCCCGATGCTGCCGTAATGTTCGCGATTGCATGCTTTTGCCTTGGTGCCTTGCGGATTGTGCTCTGGGGCTGGTGACCTATGATATGTGGCTGGTGCCCTATGATGCCTTACAGGTTGCGATTGTTCGTTCTTGCCTTGGTGCCCTATGGGTGATGCTCTGTCGCAGGTGTCTCATGACTCCTTACTAGTCGCGATTGCTCGTCATTGTCTTGGTGCTCCCTGGGTGGTGCTGCATGGCTGCGCCGCATTCGGTCAGCAACGTTTGCTTAGCGTTTCGCGCCGCCAGTTCTGGCGCACCACGCTTCGGCACGACACGTATACGTCCCGAGCTTTTCCCAGCCTCCCGCCCCGTGAAGCGGAGCGACACGCCACCCGCTTGCAAGGCATAGCGTGTCGCAGGGGCCGCCGCCGCGACAAGCCAGGCAACAATTCCTCACCGCAGGCTGCACCACAGAGTTCTTTTCAGATGAATTTGACGTTGGTTGCACCACATAGTGTGCACATCGAGAAGACAATCACCCACTGTTTGCGATCCGCGCCCGGAATCAAGGACGCTTTTGGTGTTTTTTTCTGGGCCTCGGAGATCTCGGTGGACGGAGAGGAAGCGGAGGAACATGAGGAGGAAGAGGAGGATAAGGAGGAGATGGAGGAGAAGGAGAAGGGGGAGGAGGGGTATGATGAGGAGTTGGGCCAGCGTGAACGCGGAGGACGAGTGGGGTCGAGAGAGGAGGAAGTGGAGGAACGGAAAGAGGATGATGATGATGCTGCTGTGAACGCGGAGGACGAGTGGGGTCGAGAGAGGAGGAAGTGGAGGAACGGAAAGGGGATGATGATGCTGCTGATGATGATGACGTTGATGAGGATGCAGATGAGGATGACGATACATATGTTGATGATGGCGGTGATGATGATGCTGATGCTGATGCTGATGCTGCTGATGATGATGATGATGGCCATGGTGACGACAATGACGACGACGTGACGATGCTGATGCTGACGATGATGAAACGTACGATGCTGGTGCTGATGCTGATACTGATGCTGCCAGTGCTGATGCTGCCAGTGCTGATGCTGGTGCTGATCATGCTGCTGCTGCTGGTGATGCTGAGGATCGGGGTAGTGATGACGATGACGATGACGATAGCGATGGTGATAATGATGACGATGCTGATGATGTTGATGCTGATGATGGTGCTGATGATG